CCACTTGACTGCCAAGGACACCCACTTCAACTGCTATGTGAATCACCGTTAGACGCGATTATTTGATGACATATTACTATACTCTAGATGGCTGGCCTACAGATCGAGTATCACTGCTCCTCATCTTCCCGAGCACGTCATGCAACAGTTCAGATACACCAAGATCATCCCTAGACACCCTGTTGTCTCTGTTCCTTCTGCCTTGACTCATATATAGATAGAGGAGACGTTTGCTGATTATTAGAGTCATCTGGTACTGGATGAGACTTGGGCTACCATAGTGCTGAATGAGTCGAGCTACGTCGACGGATACATCAGGTGGTTCTTCAGGATCTCACATCCATACATGATGTCGATTGCTCCAGGAGATTCGTCGAGACCCGCCCATTAGGAGATTCTAGAGGAGGAGTAGACTCAACTAAATCATATTGAGGATGTCTTGCCTTAGTGTCGTTGCATATTGGAGATTGTGCGAGCATGCATTGACAAGGGTATATTCCCTGAGGGCTCTGCTGTCGGTGAGTACTGGATGCCAAGGTTTCAGAGGCACATGAGGCACTATTGTATCGTAGACATCGTGCAAGGATGGTGGGATCGATGACCGAGGAGGCAGACCAGACATATCAGACAGAAGAGGTAGATGAGAGGTTGTCAGGCACACCCAGTAATTGTCTGTATTTAATTTGTTGTAGAACTATAGTTTGTACGTTTTTCCTAACATTGTTATTATATTTTGGATTTTGTGTTGTATAACATTTTATTACTATATATTACTATATTATATTGTATGTTTGTTATTTTATTTGAGATCGCGCGTCATAATTCACCTGCAAACAAATACACAACGCGCTATAAAAAAAATCCTGTTCTGATACACTTCGGAGATGTATCTCTGAAAATTTTTCGTAAATGCATCTTCGAAAATATTCAAATAGAAATGAGTTATGCGAGATATGATGTGACTGTTTAAAGTTTAAATAGATTTGGAGATATATCTCCAAAATATTTTAACGCTTAATCAGATGTGGAGTGCGTCCTAAGATACCCAAGACTGAAGGCATAATAAAAAAATCCACATGACGCGTAAGAAATGCATGGAGTAAAAAAAGGAAATATTCTACATTAAAACCATTATTCTATCCACATCTTGATAATGCAGTGTGACATTTTTTAAATATAAATAATTAAATTTTAATCATTTATGTATTTTCTAGATATTTAATCATTTATATATCTTCTAAATATGCAAAAATCATCGGATTGTAAATATGATCAACACGTTATTGCTTGTGATTAAAATACACACATTATTATTTGTGATTAAATACACAGTTAAAATTGTGTAAAAAGATTACACAGTTAAAATATAAATTATAGACATATTAAAGATAATAATTTAACTCAATTTTGTTTACGTATAAGATAAATTTTACACTTATTAAAATAATAATTTAGTGTATTTAATTTTTTAGATTTCATATAAGAGACACTATAATACATTCACTAGTATATTCTCAATTAAACTATTATCTACTAATAATATTGAATAATTAATGCAGAAATAACTTTAGTATAAAGATATTAAAAAGAAAAATAGATTTGTTGACTTTGTTTATATTTAAGCTCAAAAAAATTTAATTTAATTTTTTTAAATTACTCTCTGAAACCTTTTTAATTGTTATTTTTTTTTTTACTTTGTATACATAAAAAATCTTTCAAACAATAAATCTTATTTTATTTATAATATCGTTAATTATTTAATATATTCATTTTACTTTTTCTCACTCTATAATAAAAGTGCAATTAATATTACCTTAAACTTTGTAAGTGATAATTAAAAAAAAAGAATTATAAAAAGTGATATTTAAAAAAGAAAAAAGAAAGTGTCAAGAATTTGAAATTAAAAAAAAATCTAAATTACATATTAAAAAAAATAGAACGATTAAAATTATATTTAAACTTAAATTAAAAATAAAAACAAAATAAAGTCTACTACTAAATATTCACATTTTGAACATTTTATACAAATAAAAAATACAATTAATTTGTATTTATTATTAATTTTATTATCAATAATAAAATTTTGTCATTATTAATTCTATTAAAATTTTGTTATGCATTTATCCAAACTTTGAGGTGAAATTGATTAAATATGATTGTCCATTCTTTTGTTCCGGCAGATTTTTAGCCTAGGCGTAATCAGAGTCGACCCAACACATTTTTATGTCTGAGGCAAAGTTTTAAAGTAAATATTTTAATATAGTAAAAATATTTTTATTTTAGATTAATATATTTTAATTTTCAGCTTTTTAGGACGTAAGAATATTAAATTATATATTTTCTTTTCAATCGATAATAAAATCAACACATTGAAACACATTTCTTATCATTTAAAAAAATCATAATTAAAAAAATATTATCAAAGTTCTTTTAAAAAAACTTAAAATTTAAATATTCTTCATGCAAAAGAATTTAAAATTGTAAAACGAGCTATTGTACAAGGTCCAAAAATATTGATTATCTATACAATATATAATATATAAAGGGAATATTTTATTTGTGCGTGACCTATTTTTCTACCATTTTTATCCTTATTTTATTGTGTAATTTATTTAATAACTTCTTATTATTAACTTTTATATAATTTATTATTTTTAATTTTCATATAACTTTTTATTATTAATTTTTATATATATTATATTTAAAAAAAATTATTTTAACAAAAAAATATCGTCTATATTTTTATGCGCATTAAAAAAACAGAGAGACGGACACTCGCGTTTCCGTCTGGACGCTCGTTGTTAAATAATGACAAAATATGACATTAATTTTCCATAGATAAACCATCATAAACCTATAAATGATCTCCAAAATTTTTAAATAAATTTGATTTATAAATTAACCAATTATAAAATATACATTCTAAATGCTTGTTATTATTATATATTTTTAATATATACTATTATTTAATTGGTATAAAAAAATAATTTTAAAAAATCAAATAATTAAAACAATAAAAAAAGAGAGGAGGTTTTAGGCAGTATTCTCGATGGACTACTCCTAAAACCAGTCCTAGGCGTAATTCGTTAATATAATTCCTTCTTTTATTGAATATGTCTTGATTAATAAAATGTATTAAGTTTGTTTGGATAAAAGATACAATTAATTATAGTATATATGAAAGAAAAATTATACATATCTTTACTACATCATCTTTTAAGTTAAGAGAATATTATTCATCTTTTGAGTTAAGAGAATTGGAAGAAAGAAGAATAATAAACAGTAGAAAGTATATTAAAAAAACATTAATGTTATAATATTATAAAATGAATTACTATAATTTAAAACACATTTTTTAAATAAATTATATAAATTTAAAATGAAGAGAGTAAAAAGGATTCTACACAAATCAAGGTGAACGCATTCAATATGATAAATACTTAAAAAATGTGTATCTTTGCACATTAAAATTACTCTTCTCTCCACATTCTGACAAACAATACTACAATGCATAGTAAAACCTGATATTCAAAAGTCATCAAAATGTAAGAAGTAGTCAATGCATTGTTTTTTGTGATAAAAATAAATAAATAAAATTTAAAATATATGCAAAATATACTATTGTTATTTAACTCAATTTTTAAAATTTCAAACACATTATTTATACAATTAAAAAAAAAGTCAATTAACTTAATTTTAAAAAGTAAAATTGAAAAAGGTAAAATATAAATGACATAAAAACGAAAGAAAATTGCAATAAGAGATTCATGATTTTTTAATGCAAAGTTTGACTATTTTTATTGTTGTTTTTAAAATACATTTATTTTATTTTAAATTATAAAAATAAAAATGTTTTTTAATAATAAGAATAAAAAACAGTAAAATTTGTAAACTTAAAAATTATTTCAAATAACATTTAAAATTAAATAATAAATTTATATTAAAAAAACTACGAATTCTAGTTATAAATGAGTTACCAAACAATATTTATTTTATTGATAAGTTCAAAAGTTAAAAGCTGACTCATTATTAAATTTTAAAATATATCCAAAATTATACTAGAGGCTAACTATATTTAATTATATTTAACGACTATTTTTTTTAAATCCTAATATTTATAAATAAATGAAATTTTATTAATAATTCATTATTTATTTTTATTATAAAAAGTTTATTGTTCTGTAAAAGTCAAAGTGAGAACCAATTAAAAACATAAAAATAATAAAGTTATAATTTTTATTAATTTTTTAAACTCTCTCTTTTGAAAAAGAAAACACTAACTTGAAATGTTTTAAGGTGATGGATATACAGTGTAACTATAGTTACTAAGTCAAAATAATTTGCTAAAAAATAAAGTTAAAAAAGGATGGCTGAAAGTGCATGAAAAAGAGGAGTGGAGAATTAAGATTCCTTTAATTCAATGGACACTTTAATTTTGAGAGAAATAAATATAATAATAGTTATTATATTTTTAAATAAAGATGTGTGTTTTTTTCAAATAAATTAATTTCGTCTTAAAAAGATAAACAAGTAGGATAAGGCGAATTCAAATTTATAATCTTTTAATATATATTTTTATATTTGATATTTCTACAAAATTATTAATAAGGTGATTTAAGGAAAGATTTATGAAAATAATGAAATAGTATTTTAAATAGAGTATCTGAATTTGAAGTGGAGATGTGATGTAATGCGTGACAGTCACCAGTAGTCTTTTCCAATGTGCTCTCTTTTATTTTAATAAAATAAAACGAAAAAGAAAGTAAAATGAATTACGAATATATATAAATAGCATTAACAAACCAAGGCTAACGGTGACATTGTCTGAGTTCTCTGTGACTGAGGGAGTGAATCAAAACCAACAAGAAAGAAAGAAAGGAAATACCATTTTCCCTTTCTCTTCTCCTCCCTCACGCAATTCCATAACCCTAATTATTCTCCTCTTCCTCAATTTCTCAATTCTAATTTCGATTCTTCTTCTATACTAACCAACCATTACTATGGCTACTACTATCTTCCGAGTCGCTTCCTCCACCGCTCCTCCTCTGCGCCACGACGCAACACCGCTACGGAAAACTTCCGTTTCTAACGCTTTCTCTTTCCCGTCAATTTGTTCTGACAGGAGAATTGTTAGCTCCGGTGGCCGTAGATTGATTGTTGCTGCTAGTCCTCCAACTGAAGATGCTGTCGTTGCTACTGAACCGCTTACCAAACAGGATCTCATCGATTATCTCGCCTCTGGTTGTAAGCCCAAGGATAAATGGAGGTGCGTATTTCGTTCTCTTTGTTATGTGATTTACACGACTTAGTTTTAGTTTCAATACATGCAGAGTGTTTTTGTTTTTGTTTTTGCTTTTTCTTCGTAAATTGCTGGAGTACTACTGATTTTGGTTTATTTCTGTATGCAATGGCAATGATGGTTTATGATTCCTGCTTTATGATTTCCTCCATATATTTTATCTTCTTCGGTTAGACTTGAGATAGTGATTTTACAGTGTTGATTGTAAACTGAAATAATTGCATTGGATTTAATTATCAATAGTATCACCATTAGGAGAACATCACTGCTACTTTGTTACGGAGTTGAGTACATAAAAGGTGACGCATACCTCAGTTGCAAGTGTGCTTGAGGTTCATATCTGTTGGATACCTGTAAATTTTCTTAGATTTGTTCAATTTGTGCGAGTCTCATCTCAACTAAAGAAAAATGGTGCTTCAAACTGCTCAAACAATCAATTGTAATGTAGTATTCTCGATATTACTGTCGGTTATGACAAATATCTGTGTCTAGCTCATCAATGCTTAGGATGAAGTTTGGGAGGAATGGTTTGCTGTTTTCTAAAGCAGTAAATCAAATGAGACAAATATACTTTTCTGAAGTGCTAGACAAAAGTGGACAGAGGGCACATTTTCCTATGTCATGTATTTACTTTTGACGAGGAGTCTTTTTTTATTACTATTAAGTTTTGTCATAAATTGCAGCAACTGAATACTTTTCTTTCAATTTGAATTTTCAACTGTCTTTTATGTTTGTCATAACTTGTTGTCTGCATGCAGTTAATTATTCATGTTCTATTGCAGAATAGGTACTGAACATGAAAAGTTTGGTTTTGAGCTTGGAAGCTTGCGACCTGTGAAGTATGAACAAATAGCAGAATTGCTGAATGCCATTGCGGAGAGATTTGACTGGGAAAAAATAATGGAAGGTGATAACATTATTGGACTCAAACAGGTAAGCTAACATTTTTTATAAACAAGAAAAGCTATCATTTTTGTTTGAGATTTACATTTTGATCTAGTCTATGAAATACTTCCTGATTATGCCTTGTTACTGTTGGAGAATCAAACTGTAACTTTTTCAAACATTAATGTGAACCAGGGGAAGCAAAGCATATCATTGGAGCCAGGTGGTCAGTTTGAACTTAGTGGAGCCCCTCTTGAAACCCTGCATCAAACTTGTGCTGAAGTTAATTCGCACCTCTATCAAGTTAGTCTTGCATACTTGTTTTGAATTATATGATAAAATAATCTGTTTTTTTTTCCTTCTTTCTTTTCAATTAGTAATCATATTCCCAACAGAAATCAATATGCATCGTCATCACAGTTATAGCAACACAACCTTTGTATGTTTTGTGTTCTGACATAATGGATGATGACTAAATTTTGGTACTAGCTCGCCATGCTTGATTTTTTGTGTACTAGCTTGCCATAACTGTTGTGTTCGACCAAGATGTTTCATTCTGATCTGTTACTAATTTCCCTATATATTTCTATTTACAGGTAAAAGCTGTTACTGAGGAAATGGGAATTGGATTTCTGGGGATTGGTTTCCAGCCAAAGTGGGAGCGCAAAGACATACCTATGATGCCAAAGGTAGTTTTTTCTCTCCTCATTTTTCAAATCTTTGGACTAGTTGAGCATAATCAGCACGGTAATAGTATCAGTTAATGTAGACAATTTTATAAATAGATGAAATCCCTCCGTTTCGTCTGTTATTTTGGTTTGATTTCATGACTTTAGAATTAAATAGTTAAGATAAAAAAAAACAAGGATTAAATAGTTGTCAAATTTCACAGCCCATCTATTCATTAACTACAGTGACCTGATATTATTGCAACGACTTTTTGTCAGTCACATCTGAGTTTGGCAGGAATGACATCTGGAATTTGGATGATGCTAGTGTAAAATATGATATTTTGTCGACAGAATTTGTATACGAAAATTGGTAGTATATTTTGCACTTGAACAAAAATCATTCTCTTGGGTTTTTTTTCTTGTTGGAGTGGTGGGTGGGTGGATTCAGAAATTTACGCCAACCATACCTTTGCCTCTTGTTACATAGCATTGCATGATAGATCATAGATGTGTATTAATTATGTCACTTTATCTTCTCATTCTGGCTTTCATATTAAAATTACAATTTTCAGTTAACATTGGTTGGTGTCTTAAGCTTTATATACATACTTCTGATTACACCATAAATATGGTTGTACCTGAGTTTATTGCTCCACATCTTAACAAGTGATAGACAACCTGTTAGGCAGGAAAAACCCTCGAGTTTAACAGGTTCATTTTAGGCCAATTTCTAAACTTCAACCTTGAGGACAACCTCAGGGGTCTCTCTTCTACTGGTGATAGGGTTAGGCACGAGCCAATTCTTAACGACAGTGAAAGCAAAGTTAGGTTATATTCTAGAAGGAATAAATGAATAGAAGGTCAGTGATTTTGTTAAAGCACTTGAAATATAATTAATAATCGAATAAGGGTGAGTTATGAGGAAAGGGGTGCGAAAGAAATTTGTCTGAAATAAGGCACTCTTGTAAAGGGTGCCTTGTAAGAGGGCTTTTTCTCTTGACCCTGCACTCATCTCAATAATACAAATCTATCATCTTCTCACTTCGGATATTCTTCATCGGACTCTTCCACCATTTACTTTTTGCCATTATGGTTAGGCAGTGAGAGATATTCCTTTTCTCCATACAGAGGAGCTTAGGCTCTGGAACTGTTTTACAGTTATCTTCATCATGATCAATAAAATTCATTCATTACATTTTTTGTGTATTAATTCTGCTCTATCACAATTTTTAATATCTTTTGTAATTTACGGAATAAGTCGTGTCTGGGAAGGTCTGATAGCAGCCTCTATTCCACTTAGTAACTGAACAGTGACAGCGCTTCTTTCTTTTACTTCTTAGTGGTTCAATTCAATTACATGCTATATCTGACTTTGTGTTGTGGCTCAGGGAAGATATGAGATTATGAAAAAGTACATGCCCAAAGTTGGTTCTCTTGGGCTTGACATGATGTTCAGGACGTGCACTGTACAGGTGAGTTGTGTGATGTTTTGTGAGCTGACATGTAATAATCAGATACGGTGGTGGATATTAACTTAAACTCTCACAGGTCAATCTGGACTTTAGTTCTGAAGCTGACATGATCAGGAAATTTCGTGCTGGCCTAGCTTTGCAGCCTGTAAGAAACATTGATATTTTTCTATTCTATTTATTAAGGAACTTTTTAAGTGACGCATGATGTAATTATTGTTCCCTTAACAACAGATAGCAACAGCTCTTTTTGCAAATTCACCTTTCACAGAGGGAAAGCCCAATGGGTTTGTCAGTATGAGAAGGTACATGTAACTTCTCATGCAGTTGTTTCCTCTCTAACTTTGTTTTATTAAGGTGTCTTATCCCATTTTCATAAACTTGAAACAGTCATATATGGACTGATACTGACAAGGACCGCACAGGCATGCTGCCTTTTGTTTTCGACGACTCTTTCGGGTAAGAGATCATTTTGAATCATGAAGCATTAATACTTAAAACAGTTATTTTTATGCCTTCTAATTTTAGGCTCCATGGCCTTTCTTAGATCTTTCTTTTCTTTGGCGATTCAGCGAACCTTCATATAACATGTACTTGACAAATATACACATTGATTGGCTGGGCAATATCTACTCTTGGCATTCATAAAAACTACATAACTAATAATAAGAAGAAAGATTTCAATAAATATTGAACTTTAATATATTGTTTTGCACATGTTAAATTGTTAATAATGTTATACTTTTTTTAGGAAGTTATTCATCCGAAGTTAAAATTTAGATGGCATTGTGTTATTTTCTGTAATAGTTAAAATTACTATTGTACCATGTCATCTTATTTGATGAGTTATGTTGCATCTTTTTTTGAAAAAACAAAGCAATGTTGTAGATGGTGGAATATGTATTAAGACCAAAATTTCGCCATATAAACACGCCATTGCGGCTATGGCATCTCCATGTCGGGCATTCCTTCACATATTGGCTATGGACTGTTGTAAAAAAATCTGGCACGCCATGGCTTGTAGGGATGTCAATGGGGCGGGGCGAGGATGGGGGATACATTCCCATCTCAATCCTCGCCCTCGAATTTATATGAAATGACAAATAAACCTACATAGAAATGTTCAATTATATATTAATTAACGATATTATGGTATTCTAGTGCGGGGCGGAGACTCCACGGGGCGGGGGATATGTTAGCCGCCCCCGTCCCCAAAGTGCCTTCGGGGGAACTTTGTTCCCCATGCCTTTCCCATCTTTGGGGCCCCAAATGGGGGAATCCCTGCGGGGATCCCCACTAATGGGTGCAACTTGACATCACTACATGGCTGCCATTTAACAATTATGGAACAAAGTTTTGTTAATATTATTTCATGCAATGTTTTAGTTAATCTTTTTCCACTTATTTTGTTTTCGAACTCTCTGATTGCAGGTTTGAGCAGTACGTTGATTATGCTCTTGATGTTCCAATGTATTTTGCGTATCGGAAAAAAAAATATATCGACTGTACTGGAATGACCTTCAGGGTTCCCATCTATCCTTAATATTCTTGTCATCTTAGGCTAATATAATGTATCCCTGCCGTTCTTTATTGTGAAACTTGCTTTCCTTACCACAGAATTCATGTAGCCTTGCTTTCTTAAGCATAGAGACTTGACTGTTTTTTTCATTGCAGGACTTTTTGGCAGGAAAGCTTCCTAGTATTCCTGGTGAATTACCAACTCTTAATGATTGGGAAAATCATTTGACCACTATATTTCCCGAGGTTTGTTTTTATTGGTTTCACAATTTAACTGGTATCTGTTGATTATTCCATTGTTTTGCAGCACGTTTTTAGTTATTTTACTATAAAACTTGAACATTACTCTTTTCAGGTCAGGCTAAAGAGGTATTTGGAGATGAGAGGGGCTGATGGAGGACCTTGGAGAAGGTTGTGTGCTTTACCAGCATTTTGGGTGAGTGGTGGCCTTCTACTTCTTGTGCATGATATCTGAAGTGTAGTCACACTTTGTCCTTGAGAAAGTCACATAACATATTCAAAAGGAATAATGTTTTTAATAATTATTTTTTGAAACTATACATTTTTTTATTCAAGCCCTGTTTTGCACGTTCTTCTATGACTTGCTTCAATTTGGAAACATAAGCTCACTGTAATTTTCTTGATTGTGCCAGGTAGGTTTATTGTACGATGAGGTTTCTTTGCAGCGTGTTTTGGATATGACAGCAGATTGGACTCTAGAAGAAAGAGAAATGCTAAGGAATAAGGTATCTTCCTTACAATATTTTTCATATGTTTATTCAACCCAGAAGCACACGTAAGCTAGGTCCAGTCCCAGAAATGATTTTTCTTTTTATTTAATCTTCAACACGCCCCTTCATGCAAAATCTATTTGGGGTGGAAACATGAGCTAAGCCCCGTCTTGTTGTACTAGAAAAGGGTAACCAAGGATAAACACTTGAAAAATGGCGTTGAACCCGTCTTTGAACTAAAGTTACTTGCAGAGCTTACAAAAAGGATGAAACAGAACTATTTCAAGTTTTACTTGTTAGCGTCTGTTAAGAGTCCCACATCGGATAATATATGGCCTGAACATGTGTTTATAAGTGGGGATAATCCTCACCTTACAAGCCGGTTTTGTAGGATAAGTTAGACCCAACTACATTTCTTAACATGGTAACAGAGCCTTTTGTTTAAAGATCCGTTGGACCACCTTTAATGAGATTTCCTCTATTGGGTCATCCACCATTTATTTTCACGCTCCAGATGTCCAATTTTGAGGGTGAGGGGTGTGTTAAGAGTCCCACATTGGATAATATATGGTCTGAACATATGTTTATAAGTGGGGACAATCCTCATCCTACAAGCCTGTTTTGTAGGGTAAGTTAGGTCAAACTACATTTTTTAACAGCCGAGTTTCATACTGATTAATATGATTTAAAACCTGGATGGGGAAATATATTTCTTCTCTCTCACACACAGACACTGACAAAAGTCTTTCTGGCAGGTCACTGTAACCGGTCTAAAGACACCATTTCGAGATGGTTTGCTGAAGCATGTTGCTGAAGAGGTTCTAGAGTTGGCAAAGGTAAGGTGTATTTGTTTTTGTTGTTGCTATTACCATCAATGTTGCTAAGGGCATGGATTGGTGTGTATCTACAGGATGGCTTGGAAAGAAGAGGCTTTAAGGAATCAGGATTTTTAAATGCAGTAGCTGAGGTGGTTAGAACAGGTAATGAATTTTAGATTATATACCTATTAACGAAACATCTGCAATTATTCTTACACGCGTCAGATGGGCCTATTCCATTTGATCACAACTTGGTTTAGTTAAATGTGCATATTCATAATTTATATAGAGTTGGCCATTGTTTTAGTTAGAGTCATCTTCAAAGTACTGGCCAATGTTCTGCTCTCTCATTAAACATTCTTTTGATTTCAGTTCTAGTGATGAGGTATGTAGTCTTTGTTCCAAACTAACATCTAGTGATTATATGATGCACTTCATATAATTGCCTTATCATGTTAGTACATATATCTCTATGATGGCTAGCCAGCTGGGTGCCAGACTCTATAGTACGTGTATTTTTCTCTCTGCGCATCATATTAAAACTACTTAAAATCTTCTGTTTTCATGTTCTAATGCGATGCAAGTTTGAACCAATGCAAAATTGCCAAGATTATTATTTCTTTTACTTCTATACTTGTAATTTCATGTGTGGTACTGATAACATTGAGATTGCGTGGTTGATCTATGGATCAAAGGTATTTTTTTGCTTTTTTTTTTATCCCTGTTAAAATATGTTTTGAGAGTTGGATCCGAATGTTAACAGGAGGTGTCAAGCTAAACAGACATGCACTTTCAATATCTTGGTGTAGATTGCAAATTAACTAATACAAACACTGGTAGCTTTTGTCAGATGTTTAATCTGTTTTCTTGTGGTGGCAGGTGTGACTCCAGCTGAGAGGCTTTTGGAATTGTATCATGGAAAGTGGGAGCAATCTGTAGATCATGTATTTGAGGAATTGCTTTATTAAGGTTCTTTCTGTGAGAGGTTAATTGTGCAAGCCACCTTTTTGGGTAGAATCTTGAGTAAAACTTTGGCTATAGTCCTTCTGATTATCTCTCTTGGGATCCGCTTTTAGATATAGGGAATAATATGTGATGTAATTTTTTGCCCTGTGAGGCTTATATGCTTGTAAACGTGGTCAGATCAAACTGGTATAATTCATGTCGGAAGTTTGAAAGTCAAATCAGCCTAATAATTTTCACTGTAGTATCGTGATATAATTGTATGTGGTAGATGCAAATGTTACTTGAACGGACTTTCATTTTCTCAAATTCCAGACTGCTTTTTTGCAATACTACTAATTACTTAAGTGTTCAACGTTTCTCTTAATTTATGCTTTATTCGAAAATACATCTTAATTAACCAAAATAGAGTTCACTTTTGTAACAACTGTTTACAAGTCACCCTGCATATGATATGTAAGTAGATAGATATTTCATAACAAGCAATTCATCTAAAGACAGGGTTTCCCAAAGTGCATGGAACAACCTTGACCGAACATGAATGTCCTAAAGAGCATGTGATTGGAGAATGAATCGAGTAGTGGTTGGAGTTGATAAAATGTAGTAGTACTACTATCTTAAGCCTGATTTTAACGAGTTGTTATTGACTGATGGACTACCTTATTTACTTCCTCCTGTATCTTGAAAACCATTTGTCCAACATCTTGTCTCTAGTCTCTACCTCTTGAAAGCTATATTTACTTGCAAGCATGTTGCAGGTCACCTTGGATTACATGAACTTGCTATCGTGTTGCTTTTTTTTTTAGCAAGTATAGGGAAGATGTGTTCTTTAATTCACCAGCTCTTGAAAATAACATTATTTCATTATCATCATTATTCATCTTGACTAATCTAAGAATGAAGTATTAGTTTTCAGTTTTATGCAATAATTTACTCTATAACTAGTACAATAAAAAAGTCAACATATTGACAAAACTCTATGCATGTGCAAATTCATGTGTAATCTACTTATTCATTAATATATTCTAATTTATAAACTTATAAATACAGCATTTTTCTGTTTTAGAATAATACAACTTTTTTCTTTTGTATATAAACAACACCCAAAACATGACCAAAAAATCTTCCTGTCGGTTGCATGAATATTTTTGGCAATGAATAGGCAATATATTTTAAAATAGTTAACTTCTCTAATTCCCACACAACACGTGAACTGACCTAACTACTGCTTGGCAGAATATATATATACCATAACATGCAGCATGTCAAAAAACATTAACCCAAAAGCCTGTAATTCGTATCATGTCACAATCCTATAATATTAAATACTAAGCATGATTAGTCCAACAAATTAGATGAAAACTCGCTGTCAAGTTATTAATCAAAAACAGTATTATGACACTATGACCAAACAGAAAAATTAAACAATTTAGAATCATATTGACAGATAGGATATCAAATGGTAGGAAGAACATATAATTCACAAATCAATAATACAATTGCAACTTCTTGTCACCTTCTATATCCAGCTCATTCATCTTATTCAGATTTTGACATGCCCCCTTCCCAACAGACCCACATTAACTTATTCATTAAATTTCATTTTTAAAAAGATTTTCTTTCTATTTTACATAATTAGAAAAATACCAATTTCTTCAATATTATCATACTATCTTTTCTTGCATATTATTCTACCTACAAAAGCCTATTCATACCCCCACTTTCATCCATTCCATCTCAGTGTTCCGGTTTTTTCTTCTGAAAATCATCAAAAACTTCATAATGAGAGAAATCCTTCATGTACAAGCTGGTCAATGTGGAAATCAAATTGGTGGAAAGTTTTGGGAGGTTATGTGTGATGAACATGGGATAGATCCTTCAGGAAGTTATGTAGGAAACTCACCCCTTCAACTTGAGAGGGTGAATGTTTACTACAATGAAGCAAGTGGTGGAAGATATGTTCCTAGAGCTGTTCTTATGGATCTTGAACCAGGTACTATGGATAGTTTGCGTTGCGGTCCGTTCGGGAAAATATTTAGGCCTGATAACTTCGTGTTCGGACAAAATGGAGCTGGTAATAATTGGGCTAAAGGACATTATACCGAAGGAGCCGAGCTTATTGATTCTGTCCTCGATGTTGTTCGTAAAGAAGCCGAGAATTGTGATTGCTTGCAAGGTACTTCACTCACTCAGTTCTTAGTATATTGAGACATACTATTGTTATGCATAAGCATAGGTAGATCTAGGTTGCTATCGCTATTGAAGCCGCGCCCGAAAGCTTAAATTCCGGTCGCGATTTAATATAGTCCATACTTTTTTTGACAGGTTTTCAAATTTGTCATTCATTGGGAGGTGGAACTGGTTCAGGAATGGGTACTTTGCTCATTTCAAAGATCAGAGAAGAGTATCCTGATAGAATGATGTTGACGTTCTCGGTGTTTCCTTCTCCGAAGGTTTCTGATACCGTGGTGGAACCCTACAATGCAACTCTTTCTGTTCATCAGCTAGTTGAGAATGCAGACGAATGCATGGTTCTTGATAATGAAGCACTCTATGATATCTGTTTCAGAACTCTCAAGCTCACTAATCCAAGTTGTAAGTGTTTTCATGAAATTTCATAATTCATATGAAGCACTCGACGATATCTGGATTGATTTATTTGAACTTATACACTAATATAACCCCTCGTAAGAGTCGTAACACTGTTCGGCAAAATTTATGAAATATGATATGTTCATAAGTTGTTTTCGGCCTATTTTCACCGTGATAAGTGATTATGCAATAAGCTGCAAATTAAGTTGTTTATATGATTGACTTGTAGATTAATGTATATGCATATTTTGTTGGTGCAGTTGGTGATTTGAACCATTTGATCTCAACAACAATGAGTGGAGTAACATGTTGCCTCCGATTTCCCGGCCAACTCAACTCGGATCTTCGAAAACTAGCAGTTAATCTCATTCCTTTCCCACGTCTACACTTTTTCATGGTTGGTTTTGCGCCCTTAACATCAAGAGGTTCTCAACAATACAGTTCCCTCACAATTCCAGAACTGACACAACAAATGTGGGATGCAAGAAACATGATGTGTGCCGCAGATCCACGACACGGTAGATACTTAACCGCCTCGGCAATGTTCCGCGGCAAAATGAGCACGAAAGAAGTTGATCAACAGATGATCAATGTTCAGAACAAGAACTCGTCTTACTTCGTCGAATGGATACCAAACAATGTGAAATCAAGTGTCTGTGACATTCCTCCAACAGGATTATCGATGTCTTCGACGTTTATGGGGAATTCGACGTCGATTCAAGAGATGTTCAGGCGTGTTTCGGAGCAGTTTACTGTTATGTTTAAGAGAAAGGCTTTCTTGCATTGGTATACTGCTGAAGGTATGGATGAGATGGAGTTTACGGAGGCTGAGAGTAATATGAATGACTTGGTTGCTGAGTATCAACAATATCAAGATGCTGCTGCAATGGAAGATGGCGAGGTTGATGAAGAGGAAGACGACGAGGACATTGCTTAGAAGCAATGATTTGAGCAAAACATTAATTGAGGTTTCTTTTGGGACACTCATAATGTCATGGCGAATACACATATAGTAAGAAGAACATTGTGTTTGTGTGTGTCACACATATTGTGGGTTTGAAAGGTACATATGACTCTCAATTCTAATGGGAGTAATGTTTTTAAGGCTTTTGTTTTGAAATGTTTGGTTCTTGTTCTTTGTGGGGGTTACTTTAGAGTTTAGGTGTGGGACTATGTTGTTTGTGAATGTACACCATGTATTTTTTGTTTTCACTTCTCATTTCTTGTTGTGTCTCATTCTTATTAATGAAGGTTAATAATTGATATGATGAATTGTATAGTCGGTGGAATAGATATTTGTTGTTAATCTCATCTATTTATGAATGGATAGACGGTTTGATATATAAAAAATTGACTTATATAATAAATGTTTTAATATTTGAATATAGAAGTTTTGTGAAAGCCTTTTAAAAATTCTCTCTTTTTTAGAGTTTTATATTTTTAATTTATTTTGATTTCTAATGCACTCGGACTCTTTAACTATATTTTTTGAATCAATGGCGAAAAGTATGTTGATAAAAATTCATATTTTTTGAATCTGTGCCCATTTGTTTTTTCCTTTTATTTAAAAATGATTTTTATAATGTAATATAATTTTGTGTAAAAAAATTAATAAAAAAATGTTATTTTTTTAATAAAAAAACTTTTAATAAAAATTTTAAATGAAAGTTTAGTTTGAATAGTTATTTTTAAAATGTTATTTTAGATATTTCATCACTTTATTAAATTTTTTTTTGGATATTAAAATTTTAAAAAATCACTTAATTTTGAAGCTATTTCAAAAAGACAGGGTGGTCTTAGTGACACTAAGTCCCAATTTTAACAAGTGACATATAAATAAATAATGACAAATAATAATAACAATATTCATTATAATATCAATTGCTCAAAATAGAAAGTACTTGACAATCCAACACTTAAAGTGTCCAAAATAAAATACAACATGATAATAAAATGGCATAAAGAACAAACTCCCACTAACCAAGTACATCAAAAGAACCCACAATGTCCATGCTATCGACATGATTTTTGAACATAATGGGCTTAAGTCCTTTAGTTAGGGGATCAACTAGCATGAAATAAATACCAATGTACTCAACAACAATGTCATTTTTCTTTACAAGATCTCTGACTATCAAATACTTCAATTCCAAATGCTTAGAATCGCTAGTAGTTTTATTATTCATAGAGTAGAACCCAACTGCACTGTTATCACAATAAAGCTTTAGTGGCTTAGGAATGGAATCAACAATACAAAGTCCCGTTACTAAATTTCTCAACCAAACAACATGAGTGACAACAACATAATAAGCAATAAACTTTGCCTGCATAGTAGAAGAGGCGATCAAAGTTTGATTTTTACTCTTCCTGGATGTCGCACCATTAACCAACACAAAGTAACCAGAAGTAATGTTCCTATCATCAACACAGCCGACAAGATCAGAGTCAGTATACCCAACTATATCCAAGTTGTTAACTCTCCTAAAAACAAGCATATATTTGCCCAACGCATTGTCAATGGATTTTCCCTTCATTTCTGCCAAGTCAATCTCATTTTTAGGAAATTGATATTTACTGAATTTGTCACCTTTAGTAACTGGAACATCCTCTGGCTTACAGTTCTGCATATTTAACCTCTTTGAGACTCTATCAATATAAGCCTTATGTGACAAGCCAAAAGCCAAGTACACCACGTAATCTATCTCTGTGTATTTCAATTCCCAACACAAAAGGCGCTTCACCAAGATCTTTCATATCAAAGAACTTGATTAGTATAAGTTTGGTCTCATGAAGTAGACCAAGATCACTACTAGCAAGCAAAATATGATCAACATACAACACGGGAAAATTGAATTTCCTTCCATTAACCTTAAGATAAATGCACTGGTCAACTTTATTTTCTTCAAAATCCAAGGAAGTTACCACCTCATCAAATTTCAAGTACCATTTTCTAGAAGCCTGTTTCAAACCATAAATAGATTTTCTCAATTTACAAGCCAAATGATGATTACCACTTGTCACAAAACCCCCGAGTTGTTGCATGTACACCTTCTCATTAAGATCACCATTCAGAAAAGCAGTCTTAACATCCACCTGATGCAGTTCCAACTTAAAATGTGCTACAAGGGCCATAATGATTCTAAAAGAGTCTTTATTGAAAATAGGAGAAAAAGTTTCATTAAAAATAATCCCCTCTTTTGTGTGAAGCCCTTAGCCACAAGTATTGCCTTAAAGCTCTCAATTTTACCTTTTGAGTCCTTCTTTGTTTTGAATATCCACTTGCAGTTAATCGCTTTACAGATAAACTGAAACCCAAGTCTATCCAAACAAGATACTAAATTAAATTCCTCCTAAAAGAAGGTACATAAAAAGTATCTTTCAAAACTAATTCCTAGAATCAAACTGACATCTCCCACTACCTCCACAATAACTTCAAGATTATTTCCTACCCTGAGCTTGCTTTCCCTCAAGTTTGGTCTCTGTTAGTTTCTGAACCCATGTAAGGGCATAACAATATAGGTTATAAAACCACTATCAAGCCACCAAGAATTATTGTGAACATCAAATAAGTTAGACTCAAAAAAACAAAATCTAAATGATTACCTCCAGATTTATTCTTGTTGTCTAACCTTATTTTAAAAGCATGTCAATTAGTTGTCTTATGCCCCTTTTTCTTACACCAAAAGCACTAAAAGGATTTCTTAAAAGCAGCCGGTTTAGGACCTCCTATGTTATGGCATTGACCATTACTTATTTCTTAAACTCAAGATGTATATGAGAAGCATTGTGAGTGTATTTCTTATTATTCCAAGAATTCTTACAAGAATGGGGTTTAGCATGAATAGTCAGAAGAGCTAAATCACTTCTTTCCTTCTCGAGTTTCTCTTTTTCAGCTACACACTTGGTAATAGCAGTAAGATATTCTTTAGCATTCTCTTTCTAAGGAAATCCACTTATCAAATGTTTAGAAATGGTCCTCTTAATAGCACATAAGCTAAGTTGGTCACTCCTCTCCCACTTAACCAATTTTTCTTTCTCTTTAGATGTACTCTGATAATTAATCACATGTTTGGTTTCACATAGTGCCATGTCAAGATCAACAATCTCTAATAAAAATTCTAAATCTTTCTTCCATTTCTTAAAATTAGACTCATTCAGGATATCAATTGAAGCAGAACAGTTGTTCATAGAGAAGGTCATTATTGAGACAAAACAAGAATGTATTAGAACAAATAATAAAGGAAAGATATAACTTTAATGAACATAAGTTATCACAAAGAGATTAACATTATCATGCAATCCCCTTTGGGTGGAATTCCCAAACCTAGGTCACAATCAATGTCAGAACCCTAGATGAGTTACTCAATGAGCATAGATTGGGTTCAAAAATCTATCCCCTTTGAGCAGATAAATTCTCTAAACCAATACACCTCTAATAACTTCATCCACAAATTTCAAGAATAAGCTACTCAATGAGCATACATTTGATTTATAAATTTATCTCTTTTGAGTAGATAAATCCCTTATACCAAAGCATCTCCAATAGCTATATCCTTAATTAACCATAATATTTATATACAATAGTCCATCTTTGGGAAGACAATCATAGCAATGACTGAAAACCATTCCTCAAACTACAATGAGACTTTTATAAATTAAAATGAGTGATCTCACTTTTGTGGTAATCACGCACAATTATTTATAGAAGTTCTTGCTTAGGGATCAAATTTCTTTTGAAAAAAAATCATGAACCAATCATGAACTTAAATAATATATTTCCAATAAATTTTGTTATCAATTGTGTCAATCTCAATAGAAGGGATATTACACAATATCTTAAAATATATGACAAATCTAACATTTGATAAAAACTAAATAGTAGAATTTGAACATGATTACACCAGGGGTCCTTTAAGTTATTTGTTTGTAACAGGTTAGCCCTTAAGTTAACAAATATGTGCACTGTTATGCTTTTTAAATCTTTGACTAAACCAATCACGCAAAATACATAAAATACTACCAAACTACATAAAGCAACATCCTAAATACATAAGTTAACATCCAAAATATATAAAGTAAGATCCTAATTCAACACATCGTTAACTTAAATGACCAAATTGTTACAAAAAAAAACTTAAGGATCAATCTGTTACAAACAAATTACTTAAAGAACTCCTAGTGTAATTATGCATAAAATTTGGGTTAGCCTTAAGTCAATTCCAAAAGCTAGCCTAATATAACATTTTTGTTTTAGTATTGAATATATTTTACCACCAATAACTTGCTACAACTGTCTTATATTTTAAGACCCGATGTTCAATTAATAATTTAATATTCACAAAGAAAAGTTTTAACATTACCTTTAACATAACAAAAGTATATCTTATGGTGGTAGTGACTGCCTAACATGTACACCAACTTGAGACTCTTGACTTTAGCCATATGACCATACTTTACAATAGTATACAATATTAATGAACTTCTTAAATATAAACACATTAGTTCTATTACTTGATCCATTATACTTTATTTTTCTTCCGAAACAAAATGGTTCAGGTGTCAAACTATTTTTCAAGCAATAATGTCCAAATAAATAAATGAGGAACACGATTGTATTTAAAGATGGTAGAATGTCTATGAAGTGGAAGACATTAGACGGTCAATCTCCACAACAGATGTTCATCCACTCTACAATAAGAGATGTTCATCCACTATCCAATAAGAGGGTCAATCTAAGGGTAAGGCAATTAAAGACCACATATACTAACAAAATTGTCAAATCTGAAAGCACATATTGATATTTATGAAGCAAAAAGACCACACATGATGGCAAAAAGGTGCTCTAACTTTTCTCAAAGTTTGTTTTAGGTCTAACTCACCCTTGGGTCAGACACTACCTAATAAATACATCAAAATATAATACTGATCATTTCCACT